AGAGTCAGTGAGTGAGGGGCCCGGAGGCTGCAGATGGGTGTGGGGGGGCTGGGGAATGAGTGGGGGTTGGGGGTTGGGGTGTGGAGGGGGCTGCAGATGGGTGTGTGGACTGGAGGGTATGTGGGGCGGCTGGGGCTGTGTGAGGGTGCTGAGAGGTGGGTATGGGGGCTGGGGTCCCCACAGCGGCAGCAGGGTAAAGGAGGTGGGGGCAAAAGACCCAAAGTCACATGTGGGTCGCAAACCTGGATTTCCTGGTGGTGCTTCAGGTCTCCAGAACTCTTCCTTGCTCTTAAATTCTTGGGGCCCAGAAGGGAGGGAGAGGTGCTGGAGTGTCTCTGCCCTGGGATGAAGCCTAGGGGACAACTCACAGCACAAGGTCCTGATATGGATGATGCCTGTGAGTGGCTGAGCTCTGGGGTGGCTGTTGCCTGTGGTTTCATGTGAGCCCGTGGCCCTTTGGAGCTGGCATCATCTGCCCACGCTCCAGATGAGGAAGCCGAGTCCCAGCAGGGGAAGCACATGTTGAGGTGGAGCCGCCCTGACTGGCGTCTCCTGATATAAGGGGGGTGGGCTCTGGGCTCCTTGTTCTGGGTTTGGTGGAGGGAGTGACCAAGCCAGTGGGCCACCATTCTTCGGGTTCTATGTCCCCAGAGTGTCCCCCCATCGGGATGGAGTCCCACCGCATTGAGGACAACCAGATCCGGGCCTCCTCCATGCTGCGCCACGGCCTGGGGGCCCAGCGCGGCCGGCTCAACATTCAGGTGGGTGTTGGGATGGGCCCATCTTGCGGCTGAGCGCGGGGCTCTTGCAACCGCTCATTCTCCCCACTGCCCCCAACAGGCCGGTGCCACCGAGGACGATTACTATGACGGGGCGTGGTGTGCTGAGGATGACGCTCAGACCCAGTGGATCGAGGTGGACACCAGAAGGACCACCAAGTTCACAGGTGTCATCACCCAGGGCCGTGACTCCAGCATCCAGTACGTGAGGGGTGGATGGGACATTCCAGGGGGCCATTTAGGGGCCCTGTCCCCAATCACCCCTCCGTGGCACGTAGTGGGCAGGGGAGCCACTCCCAGGGCCAGCTCAAGAACCATACAGCCCTGCTAGCTCTTAAGTTCTCAGGTCCGGAAGAAGGGGCTTCGGCTCCTGAGTGCCCGGGACCTGGGGCAGGGAAGGCAGCCTTGCTCTGACCGCCATCTGCTCCCCAGTGACGACTTTGTGACATCCTTCTTTGTGGGCTTCAGCAACGACAGCCAGACGTGGACGATGTACACCAACGGCTATGAAGAAATGGTGCGCACTCAAGCTGTCAGCTCTGCACCCACCATCTGGACTGAGGGTGGGCTCTTGGCAGGGGTGGGGAGCTACTCTGAGGTCAGCCTCTCCCCAGACCTTCCATGGGAACGTGGACAAGGACACACCTGTGCTGAGCGAGCTCCCAGAGCCGGTGGTGGCCCGCTTCATCCGCGTCTACCCACTCACCTGGAACGGCAGCCTGTGCATGCGCCTGGAGGTGCTGGGGTGTCCTATGTCCCGTGAGTGCAGGGGGCCGGCAGGGCTCAGAGGGGTGGCTGGGGCCACCTGGGGGCTGGCTGGCACAGCTCAGGGCCCTGCCTGTCCCCCCCACCTCCCCCCGCAGCTGTCCACAGCTACTATACACAGAATGAGGTCGTGACCACTGACAACCTGGATTTCCGGCACCACAGCTACAAGGACATGCGGCAGGTGGGGTGCTTGTTCCCTGGCTCAGAGCTTGTGTCCAGTGCTCCCATCCCAGACACGCCCCCCTGAGAGGGCCGCCAGCCAGTGCTCAGCTGGGGGCCCCTCCCTCTGGCACTAGGACCGGAGAGGGGCTGGGGTTGCCTTCAGGGGCCACTCCTACCACAGAGGCTTTCCCTACCGTGCAGACCAGGACGGTAGAGAGGCCTGGCCCTCCCCGCAGCCTGGACTGCTTCCACGGGAGGTGGGTGGGGGGCTTCATAACTCCGTGTTCTCTCCCGAGCCCAGCTGATGAAGGTGGTGAACGAGGAGTGCCCCACTATCACCCGCACATACAGCTTGGGGAAGAGCTCACGCGGGCTCAAGATCTATGCCATGGAGATCTCGGACAACCCTGGGGATCACGAGCTGGGTGAGGGCCCCGTGGACCCCTGGAGGCCTGGCCCTCCCTGGCAGGGATTCGAGGCGAGGCTCTGGCACTGCAGCTGGGCCTCTGCCTGTCTTTGGAGCCTCTCTGGGGTCCCAGTGTGCCTTGCCAGGGCCAACAAGCGTCATCTGCCCCCATCCTACTGGGAGTGAGCCAGTCTGGGTCCTTCCTCAGATTCCCCGGGGCGTCAGGAGGCCCAGTGGTTGCTGAGGCTCCTGCTCTTGCAGGGGAGCCTGAGTTCAGATACACGGCCGGGATCCATGGCAACGAGGTGCTGGGCCGCGAGCTGCTGCTGCTCCTCATGCAGTACCTCTGCCGCGAGTACCGAGACGGGAATCCCCGTGTGCGCAGTCTGGTGCAGGACACACGCATCCACCTGGTACCCTCACTGAACCCGGATGGCTACGAGGTGGCAGCACAGATGGTAGGTGGGTGGGGCGGGGCGGTGGGGGCCAGAAGCTGTGTGGGCAGGTGGGGCAGCGAAGCGGGGCGGGGTGGGAGAGTTGGGGCGGAGCCGGATGACACCACACCCACCGGTTCCTCCAGGGCTCTGAGTTTGGGAACTGGGCGATGGGGCTGTGGACTGAGGAGGGCTTTGACATCTACGAAGACTTCCCAGATCTCAACTCTGTGCTCTGGGGAGCAGAGGAGAGGAAATGGGTCCCCTACCGGGTCCCCAACAATAACCTGCCCATTCCTGAACGCTACCTCTCCCCAGATGCCACGGTAAGGCCTGGGGGAGCAGCCCGGACCCTGGGGTCCTGAGCTGTGGACTTGAGGGGTGGGCTGGTGGGTGACTGAGCCAGCACAAGCCTGGGGGGACAGAGGGGGCATGAGTACTGGCAGGGAGGGTAATAGAGGCTACAGCTCAGACGCACGCCCTGGCCACCCCCAGGTATCCACAGAGGTCCGGGCTATCATTGCGTGGATGGAGAAGAACCCCTTTGTGCTGGGGGCGAACCTGAACGGCGGGGAGCGGCTTGTGTCCTACCCCTATGACATGGCCCGAACACCCACTCAAGAGCAGCTGCTGGCCGCGGCCATGGCAGCCGCCCGGGGAGAAGATGAGGATGAGGTGTCTGAGGCCCAGGAGACCCCAGACCATGCCATCTTCCGCTGGCTGGCCATCTCCTACGCCTCTGCCCACCTCACCATGACTGAGCCCTACCGGGGAGGCTGTCAGGCACAGGACTACACCAGTGGCATGGGCATCGTCAACGGGGCCAAGTGGAACCCCCGGTCTGGGAGTAAGTCAGCCTGGGAGGGGCCGAGGCGGGGGACGTGGCGGGGCACAGGGCTGACTGCGGTTCCGTGTCTGCCCCCCGCACAGCTATCAATGACTTCAGCTACCTGCACACCAACTGCCTGGAGCTCTCCATCTACCTGGGCTGTGACAAGTTCCCTCATGAGAGTGAGCTGCCCCGGGAGTGGGAGAACAACAAAGAGGCCCTGCTCACCTTCATGGAGCAGGTGGGGGCGCGGCAGCATGTGGGCTGGGTGGGGGTCGCGAGGGAGCCCTGTCCAGAGGGGCAGGGACCGGACAGGGGAGCCGCTGGAATGCGTGGGGCCTTGGCATGCACGTCCACGCTTGCCTCCTCCTGCAGGTTCACCGTGGCATCAAGGGCGTTGTGACAGACGAGCAGGGCATCCCCATCGCCAATGCCACCATCTCCGTGAGTGGCATCAACCACGGTGTGAAGACAGGTACCTTGTCTGCATGCGGGTACGGGCAAGCAGATCCGTGTGGCAGTGGCGAGGCAACGCCCGGCAGAGCCCTGATCCCCCGCGTCCCCACTGGAGGGTCTACCCTGGGCACAGGGAGGGCCAGGAGTTTGGGGGGGGGGGGGGGCATCTCAGAGAGGAGGGCTGGAGGCTGGGGGTACGAGAGAGTCCAGGGCAGCAGAACCTGTCCTCTCTGTGCAGCGGGCGGTGGCGATTACTGGCGCATCCTGAATCCGGGTGAGTACCGCGTGACGGCTCACGCGGAGGGCTACACCCCGAGCGCCAAGACCTGCAACGTGGACTACGATATTGGGGCCACCCAGTGCAACTTCATCCTGGCCCGCTCCAACTGGAAGCGCATCCGGGAGATCATGGCCATGAACGGGAACCGGCCCATCCCACACATTGATCCGTCGCGCCCCATGACACCCCAGCAGCGGCGTCTGCAGCGCCGCCGCTTGCAGTACCGGCTGCGCATGCGCGAACAGATGCGGCTTCGGCGCCTCAACGCCACGGCGGGCCCCACCACACTCGCGGCGCCGACACCAGTCACCACACTGCCCCCCACCCCCTCCCCCACCTTCAGCCCTTCGCCTGCCCCCAGCTCCAGCCCGGGGCCCTGGCATTTTCCACCCGAGACCACCACAGTGGGCTGGGAGGAGGCGGAAACGGAGACGGAGACCTACACGGAGGTGGTGACGGAGTTTGGGACAGAGCTGGGGCCCCAGGAGGAGGAGGAGATGGAAGTGGACGAGTTGGAGGAGGAGGAGGAGACAGTCATGGGTCCAGATTTCCCATTCACCACAGCCGAGACCTACACAGTGAACTTTGGGGACTTCTGAGCCCAGGTCGGCCCACATCCAAGCCCTCGCCGCCACAGGAGCCCCAGCCATCGGCGTGGGCCTGGCCAGGAGGGGGCCCAGTCGGGCACGAGATCTCGGAGCCCAGGTCTGCGAGGTGCTCCTGCCCGGCCTGCCAGCCTCAGACACAACAGGCACGGCGGGGCGGGGGGGTGGGGGGGTGGGGCACACTTGTCAGCCACCTGCCCGACCACACCAATAAAGCAAGCTCATGGCACACGTGTTGGTGGGGAGGGGAGGAGGGGGTTATGTTGGCCAGGGGTCAGGTCTGCAGGAGCTCAACGCCAGCACAAGGTCAGGCTTTTATTACAAAGCACCCCCTGCTGTGGTGCCAACACTGTGGGGAAAGGGTGGCCGGGATCTCTGTGAGTCAGGGGTCCAGAACCAGGCCCCCCAGGTCCTCCTCCTCAGCTCCGAAGCCTGAGAAGCTGATGGGCTGGCAGGCCAGGCTGCGCAGATTCACGAGACAGGCGGTCTGCGTGCTGCTAAAGTCAGGGACAGCCACCAGCAGCACCCTCTGGTCCTCTGGGCCTAGCAGAGAAGCCACACAGGCGCCCCCTCAGGTTCTGGGTGGGCCTGGCCTCCAAGGGAAGTCACCAGAAGCAAACAGGAGTTCCCCATCAGCACACCATGGGAGTGCTGGCCTCGGAAGCTCCTGGCCAGATGCAAGGGCCCAAGACAGCAGGACGGTCAGAGGCTAAAGCCATGCTGACCGGGGTGAGCATGAACACCACTGCACACGTGTGGGCCGTTTCAGCCCCCACTCAGCCAGCGGGCCACCAGGCAGGCTGCCTAACCCCACGGGGCCTGGGGACTCCAGTGCAGCCTTTTCTGCGAGCCCTGCCCTCTCATGACAGCCCAGGCCTGAGGCCCCCAGAAGAAAGGACTTACCTCGGAAGATTTTAGAGCCAAAGCTGGGGGTGTTCCCACAAAAGTAGACATGAGGACACTCGGGAAAGATGAACGGGTCTGTCTTGTAGAAGGGGTAGCAACCTGGGGAAGGCCCACAGTGGTTGCGGCTTCTGGGCTCGGCACCGCACACGGCCGGGGTGGGGTCCTCCTCACCGAGCACCACAGCCCACCCGCTCACACACACTCAGGCTATGCTGGTAGCAGCCCTGCCTGCTAGGATCCAGACATCGCCACATGAGCCTGGGGACAGGTGAACGTGCCCGCCACCTTCACCCTCCTGGGCGGCCCTGTGGCAGCGTGCGAGGCTCTGACCAGCCCAAACTCCTGATATGCTCCCCGTGGCCTTCAGCCCTGAGGGAAAGCTCCAGAGTACCTTCCAGAATGAGGGCCAAGCATCTGGACTTTTCCTTAGATAGGTCAAGGCAGGATTGCTGGGTACAAATGACGCCCACCCTCCAAGCACACAGGCCCCCTCATTGGGACCCTCTTGGCCCTTCACCCCATTACCTAGCGTGTCGGGGGCTGTGGGGCTGATGTGACGGATGCGCAGCGTCCACTCCAGTATCTCCAGGTGGTCCTCCATGCTGCTGTACCGGAAAATGTCGCTCACATTCTGTCCTGATGTCCCTAGGAATCTGCAAGGCAAGGCTCAGCTGATCCCCACCCTGGGAGCCAGCAGCTGTACCCCCACAGGGCCCAGAGCTCCCCCTGCATTCTCACGGCTGCTGTCCCAGGCCAACTTTGACAAAGACACTAGGTCCCGGCCAACTGCAGCCCTGGACCCAACCCTCCCCTCCCAGTGCCACCGAGGCAAGAGGCCAGTGCTCAGCTGGGGTGTGGCTGCAAGTGGCTACCTGACTCCATCAATGGTGGCCTGGTAGGGGTTGGTGACCAGCTGGAGGGTTGAGTAGGCAGTGGCCAGCGGGAACATGCAGGGGTGCAGGGGCTGCTGGGGGAGTGTGTAGTTGGTTGGGTCAAATTCTCCCGGCATCACATCCACGGGTACCGAGGCCTGAAGGCATAGGGAGAGTCGGGAGCTTTGTAAGGCCCGGCGCCCTCCATATGTGGCCCCTCCAGATCTCACCCACCCCTCCCCCGGCCCGCCTTCTGGTGCCCAGCTGCAGCCTCAGAGACCCCAATGTCATCACCCAGCTGGCCCCCAGCTCACTCACACTCAGCTGCAGGAGGATCTCATCCAGCATCTTGACAGCCTCCACGCTGGCTGCCTGGGTTTTCTTGGTTAAGTACTTGGCCTGGGGATACGAGTCAACAGGCTGTGAGGCCCCCGCTGCTGGGTGTGGTTAGGGTCTGCACCACAGGCTCCCCTGCCCTCAGAGTGGGCCCCAAGCAGAGGTCCTGGCATCACCGCAGGGCACATCCCACCAGACATGTGAGGCCCTGGACCCCGACTCTCCCGGAGGAAGGAGGAGCTTGAATGTAGGCAGGCAGGCATTGTACCTTGTTGATGGAGTCTCTGCTCTGGGTGTTGTGGCTCAGGAGGTTCCCGGCCAGGATGACCCGGGACACGTGCGCGGCACTGCACTGCTCCCCCTCGTCCCCCAGCTGCCCGGTCACCACATCCACCAGCAGCTGGGTGCCCAGCAGGCTCTCGCCCCCACCTCCACCCAGGCCCAGGCCAGACACCAGCAGCACAAACCTGCGGGAGAAGTCGGGGTCCTCGTGGGTGCCCAGACGGCAGGTGTCCCTGCTCTGCACCCACCCTGGCCGCCATCACGGGTGAGCAGGAGACATGCAGCCCGGCACCTGTGATTTCCCGGGACCACCGGCCGGGCCCCTGTGCACCTGCTCCTCACCTGTCTGTGTCAAGGCAGGGTGCGGGCTCCTGAGGAGCAAGCTCTGCAAAGCAGTGGTCCTCCACCAGAAACTTCCCAGTGTCTCTCACAGAGCCGAGCACGGCCAGGACCGTCCCTGCAGAGCAGTGCTGTTAGCCTCCAGGAGGGAAGCCCAAGAACCGCTTGCTTCCAGTCACTCACAATGCAAAACCGTCCAGTTCTCCTGTGCCGCGCTGGCAAATGATCACCTAGGACTTGGGACCGAGTGTGCTTCCCGGGGTCACGGCCTCTGGGTGGAGGCAGGAACACTGGCGCCCCCCTCAGGCCTCACCCACTGTCTGACCCTGAACCCAGCACTCCAGGGAGGCAGGGATGTGCCAGCACTTGTGTGCACAGGCCACCCCTCCTGCCCCTACCTGTGACCAGCTTGCACACATCAATGGTGCCTTCCAGTTTGATGCGCTGCAGTTCATCTTCCAAGACCAGCTCGTCGTCCGGATGGATGTATTTGCTCCGTGGGGGCTGGGGGAGTAGGTTGTGCTGGAATTCGGAGACGGGAGGTAGTTTTGGGGCTGGAGGCCACCAAGGCTCCTGCGCCCCACAAGTGAGATGGCACGGTGACCCCAACCCCCGATTCCCTGGGACCATGGCAGGAGGTCCCACGGGCGCCCACAGGACGTGTCCCAGGGGAGGCATGCGTCAGCCAGCTGGCTCACCTCTTCGCTGATCTCCCGCAGGATGGATGGCTGGAGCGGCATGGCCTTGAACAGGGTCCCCACCACACAGCACTTCTCCCCGGGCTGTAGCTCACACAGCTTCTTTATTTGGACTCCAGCACCTGAGTGTGACGGGCATGAGCTCAGACCAGGCAGCCCTCCCAGCCCACCCTGGGGCACTGCAACAGGCCTCACGGAGCCATGCAGCCCACGGGCCTGGGCTCTGGAGAAGAAAGAGACCTTCGGGGGCAAGGACCCCCAAAACTAGTAGACTCGGCCCCGGGACAGAAGGATCCGGGATATGGTTAGGTCCCTGGATCCCGTGTCCTTATAAGAAAGGCAGACGTGCAGAGGAGGCACCATGAAGACGGAGGCAGAGACTGGGAGGCCCAGGCAGCCACCAGGGACTGGAAGAGGCAAGGAAGGGTCCTCCCTAAGAGCCTCCGGAGGGCGCGACCCTGCCAACACCTGATGTCACACTCCTGGCCTCCAGAACTGAGATCACATTTCTGTTGTCCTAAGCTGCTCAGTTTGTGGCTTTGTCATCTGCTGCAGCAAAAAGCAATAGGGAACCAACAGTCTTACGTCATTTATACCTAACTGTGACACTGGCTCTGAGGAGGAAGCATGCCAACTCTCTGCGCAGCCCTGCCCTAAAAACATCAGAGAGGCGCAGTCGGCCAGACTCGCGGGCAGGAGAGAGGGAATGCAAGTCCCAGGAGGCCTGTGGGTTTGTCAGGAGAGACCCTGAGCCTGGGGAAGTGCTGTCAGGACCAGATGGGGTCCTGTGTATGCTGGACCAACCTCTTCCTGAGCCCCTTCTGCCCTGGAGTAACCAAGAACATTCCACAGATCTACATCCCAGGGAGTGGAGGTGGGTAGTTCAAAACAAGAGGAGAGCGCCAGCACCAGACAGAAATGGCATGGAAACACACCCCCAAAGCCTGTCTGCAGGGCCCTCGCTTAACCCCGGGGGGGGCCGTGCCGAGCAGCAAGTGGAACTTCTCCACGCTGACAACACGCCGGAGTAGATGTTACTGCCCCGATATACAGCTGAGGAAACGGAGGCACAGGGAGATTGAGTGACGCGTCCAAGGGTACACAGCTGGGGCCCAACGAATGCAGCTGAGCACCTGGTAGAGCCACACAGCCCTGTGTCGAGGGCAGGACAGCTGTCCAGCTGGACAGCGTGTGGGCATCGGGCCAGACACCAGCACCAAGAGTGAACACCAAGGCCTGTCCTCACCCTCCGCAAGCTTCCAAACCAGCGGGAGCCAAGGCAAAGGGAACAAGAAAGCCCTGAGGGCTGCTGTGGCCTCTCAAAGCACAGGACAGTAAGCTGAGGTCACGAGGGAAGACGGGGAAAGAGCGTGCCAGGCGGAGGCGATGCCAACACTGAGAAGGGGTTCAGCGTGGTCGGGAAGCTCAAGAGAGACAGACAAGTCCCGGGACAGGCTGAAGTCTGGTCGGAAAGCCTGGCGACACGCGGAATCCATGCGCAGGGACGCATTCTGGGAGAAGCCAGCTTCAACCCCAGCCAAGGCCCCATTCACCACGGCCGCTGTCTGAACTACTGACCCATCTGTGGGCAGAGTAAGACAGCTGTTTTCTGTCACTGGGCAGCTTTGTTAGCAGGAATGGTGACTGCAAGACAGGTGTGGTACCAGAATGATAGCAGTGACACAGAAACCGAGGAGAATGGAGGAAGCTGCAAGGGAAGTGAGGAAAAGGCCACTGGGAGCCAGAGGAAGGAGCCCCTCATCATGTGAAGAGAGGAAAGGTGACAGCACTCGTGCCTGCAACAGAGACAACAGAAAACATCCCTGGCAGGTGTGATGGTCTAGTTCTCGTGCCTATAATGAAACCAGAGGCGATGCCGTCGGCTCAGTGGGGTGGGACGGGACAGGCACCTCTGTCCCACAGCCTTCCTGCTGCTTCCAGTGTGCAGCCAGAGCTGGGACCACCGAGTCCAGTGCTGGGGGCAAGGAAAATGAGTAAGACACGGTCCCACCTATGAACATTCCAGTTTAACAATGTAACAGAGGAGTTGAAAACTACATGGAAAGCCACTCTTATAAACAGAAGAATTGAGTGAGGCAGCAAAAGTCAAAGGCGGGAATCCTGCAGGAGAGAGCACAGAAGAAGTGGGGAAAAAAGAAAAGATGTGCCTTGCCCAGGCCCCTTGATTAGGAAAGACAGGAGAGCCCCAGAGACAGGAGACTCATGCCCAACCAACACGGAAGGTGCAGAGGAGAAGCAGACAGACAGACAGACATCAGCGAGCACACAGGAAGCCCCCTAGAGAGGTGGTGGGTGTCTTCACGGACACCCTGGCTCCCAGTGCCTGGTGGCTGGCCTGCCACACTGAGCCCCTTGCTAGCCACAGCATGAACACACAATCTGAACTCAAGAAAAGGAAAAACGTACGCTTACACCAGTGAAATCATCACGGCTACGCCAGAGCTCAGCCCCATCTCACCCAGCCTCGGAAGTAAACCTCACTCTAAACCTAGCAATTCCTAAGCTAATCCTCATGACTACCTGAATAAGAAACTGAGGCACAAAGAGGTTTACATTCCCAAGATAACTGAGAAGTGGGATAAATTGAAGAAGGTTCCAGCTCTACCAGGTCCCTCATATGACATTTCTGAAAACTCCAGGGACCCTCTGGGCTGGTGGGGAGGAAGCACTTCCCCGAATTCATCACTTACCCCAGTGCTGTTTGGCCCGGCTCACCAGAAAGGGCCTCATTTGGATGAGGCGGGTGGCATAAATGTGGGCATACTGCCGGCTGAAGCTGCGCTCCCCCAGCCGGAAGGGCTGCGAGGAGTTGGTGTACGTGGACACAGGCACGCGGGCGAAGGTGGCATTGCTGGCTGACGGCGGGGAGAGCAGAGTATGGGCCCTCTGGGCAGCCTGCTCAGAGAACATGGCTGCGCTGGATGCGTCCAGACCTGGTGCTCACGCCGAGGAGGAGGCAGTCACTGTGAACACACAGACGTGTCCCTGCAACCCCTGCCCACTCCATGGCTTTCCTGGTGTGTCTCCACTGCACCCATGAGCACTGGGAGAGGAGGGGAGAGCTGCGGCTCTCCCCACACATGGTTCAGGATGGCAGCTGTGCTGGATACCAAAGTGTGCCTTGGAATCCTCATCCAGAAAGGAGAGCTAGGAAACGCTTCTCCCACCCAGAGCTCTCCAGACCTGCCCCAGGTATCCACGGCTGGCCTCGCACCTCCACCTAGACAACTAGCGGGCGTCCCAATTCTACCTGCCATCCACCCCCATCTTGCTCCTCCGCACCTGCCCCATCTCAGGGCATGAGGGCAGTCTCATTATCATATAAGTCTACCATAAAATAATAAGCCTATTTTAAACAAAACAAAATATTAATCAGTCACTCCTGTGCTCAAAAGGCCCTCCGTTTCAGTGACTAAAACCCCAAGTCTCTACTGACATCTGCCCCAGCTCTTCTCCCTCCACTGCCTACAGGTGCAGACTCGCTGGCTCCCCATACCCTGCTCTCTCTGTCTTTGCTAACGCTTCACCCTCTTCAACTGCAACCGTCCCTTGGCACTTCTATTTCTCCCATTTTACTGTTTACTGAGCCCCGACCCCGCCTCCCGGCGGCCGCCCAAACCGAACGCAGCCCCGACCCCGCCTCCCGTGGACGCCCAAACCGCACGGAGCCCCAACCCCGCCTCCCGGCAGCAGCCCGGGCCGCACCGAGCCGCACTCTGAACCACGAGCCCGGTGCAAACCGTCGGACAGTGCACATGGGACGGCCTTCGGTCCCTCCTTTTTCGTGCATGGTTTCAGGGCAGCCGCTAGGTGCCCGTACCCTGCTTGTACCGCACGGCTCTGGGCCGGGGCGGAATCGGACTGACTTCCGGCCCAAACGAGCTGAGCGGGGCCGCAGCCCTGGAAGAAGTCCTGGCCCGCGCTCTAACTTCAGCTTGTCGAATGCAGCAGGGACCCTGAGAGAAGCCGCCCAGCCTCCGCCACGCGCGGACTCGGAACCCCGGCCCCGCCGCCGCCGCCGCCACGCGGGCCGGGGGACGCGGGACCTCACTCACCAAGCCGCGCGCTGCCGGCCACCTCCCGCCAATCCGCGCGCACCACCCCGCCCCTCTCCGCGTGCTGCCTCCAGCCAATCACCAAGCTGCCCGCTCCGTCTATCACCTCGGGGCCCGCCCACCTCCCTGGGCTCGCGCGCCCCGCCCCTGACGCCTCTACCAATCACCAACCCGCCCGTTCCGTCCATCACCGTGGGGCCTGCCAATCCGCGATCGCCCCGCCTCTGGTCGCGCCCCGCGTTTCCCGGACTACGCGGGCCGATGGGTGCTGCGAGACCCGAGCGTTCGCGTGTCCCGAGGCCTGTGCCTGAGGTCCGCGGGCGGAGAGCAGAGCTGGGGACTGCGGTCCGGGACAGAGGAGGAGCGCTTCGGGCTAGGGTTAGTGTTAGGGAAGCGGACAGGCCGTGGCCCAGCGTACACTGAACTCTCCTTCATCCTGCACCCGCCCTCGGCTGTCCCGGCGCCGCGCCCGCTGCGGGGTGCTCTCCCCCGCCACGGCACCGATGCCCGGAGCCAGGGCGCCCTGGCCGCGGAGCTCGCTCCCACCTTCGCACGCGCAGCCGCGGGGCGGGTCGCACGCACTGAGCGTCATTCCCTGCGCGCCGCTTCCGGTGCCGGTCCGGTCTCCAGGACAACGGGGGTCGTGAGGGCGGGTGGCACCCCAGAGCTCCTGCTGCAGGAGATCCTTCACATTTGCTGCTGCATCGCATGCTGTCACAGCCCGGGGAAGGCGGCGGGGGCCCAGGGCCGGTGCCGTCGGTCGTGGGGGGTGGGGCGGGCTCCCGACGGTGGGGACGCGTTTGTGCAGCATCCGTGAAACGTTTGGAGAATTGTGCTCCTTGCTGCCCCGAGCTCGGGCGCAGACCTGCGGCCCACCGATGCCACGTGGCAGCTGGACCACGGCTGGCAATTGCTAAGTTCTTACTTTGCGACAGAAAACGAACCCCGATTTGTTCTCTCCACTTAGGGCTCTTTGGACGTGAAACCAAAGATGTTCTTAAATGTGTAGATACATAAAAGGCCTCAGGGAGCTGAAGGCTCGACAGAAGCTGCGCCTTTGGGAGTGGGCCCCTCAGAGCCCGATAGAGTGTCCCCGGAAAGCCGGGGCTGGGTGGTTGCGCCTGCGGTGCAGGGTAGGGGTCTTCTGTGATGTGCACTCGCGTGTTTTTATGTGCAGTTTTTTATTCTGGAAAAATACCGTTTCACCCGCTGTGAAGTGTCTAGTTCAGGGGCATTAAATATATTCACAGTGTTGTGCAGCCATCACCACCACCCATCTCTGGACCCGTTTCATTATTCCAAACTGAATCTCTGTCCCGGTAACACAGTAATCCCACACTCCCTCCCCCCATCTCCAGTAATTCCAATTTGCTGTCTGTCTCTATGAATGAGCCTCTTCTAGGGTACCTCATACAAGTGGAATCATAAATATTTGTCTCTTTGTATCTGGCTTATCATGTATTTAAGGGGTACATCTTCAAGATACCTCCATATTGTAACGTGTCAGAATTTCCTTCTTTTTTATGGGCCAATAATACTTTGTGGGTACAAACCACCTTTTGTGCATCCATTCAGTTCGTCAATTGACATTTGGCTCGTTTTCATCTTGTGACTACATGAATAATGCTGCTTACCTACAAGTGCAATTGCTGGAGCAAATGGTAATTCTATGTTTAATTTTTTTTTTTTTTTTTTTTTTTAAGAGAGAAACAAAGCATCAGTGAGGGAGGGGCAGAGAGAGAGGGAGACAAAGAATCTTAAAGCAGGCTTCAGGCTCCAAGCTGTCAGCACAGAGCCCGACTCAGGGCCCAAACTCACAAGCTGTGAGATCATGACCTGAGCTGAAGTCGGTCGCTTAACCAACTGAACCACCCAGGCGCCCCTTCCATGTTTAGTTTTTTGAAGACCTCCCCCTACACACACACACAGTTTTCCACAGCTGTTGCACCACTGTGCATTCCCACCTACGGTACACAAGGTTTTTCAGTTTCTCCACATCCTGGCCAACACTTGTTCTTTTCTGGTTTTTTAACACGAACTCCCTTTTTTTTTTTAATTTTTTAAATGTTTAGAGACAGAGAGAGACAGAGCATGAGACTTTTTTAGAGGCAGAGAGAGGGACACACAGAATCAGAAGCAGGCTCCAGGCTCTGAGCTGTCAGCACAGAGCCCGATGTGGGGCTTGAAGCCATGAACTGCAAATTCATGACCTGAGCTGAAGTTGGACGCCTAACCAGCTGAGCCACACAGGTGCCCCTCTGGTTTTTTGATGGTAGCCATCCTAATGGGTGTGAGGTTGAATCTCAGTGTGGTTTTTATTTGCATTTCCCTAATGATTAGTGACACTGAGTGTATGCACTCTGTTATTTTTTTTATAACCTGTACCTTTGGTGTCATAGCCAAGAAGTCATTGCCAAATCCAGTGTCATGAAGCTTTCCCCCTATGGTTTCTTCTAAGAGTTTTATAGTTGTAGCTCTTAGGCTTACGTCTTTTATCTGTGTAGGATTAATTTTTATATATGATTTTAGGTAAGGGTTCAACTTCACTTTTTGCATGTACATATCCAGTTTTCCCAATGCCATGTTTTGAAAACACTGTCCTTTTCTCATTGAATGGTCTTGGCATCCTTGTCAAAAATCATTTGACCACGCATGCAAAGGTTTATTTCTGGGCTATTTCGCTGGTCTGTCTGTGTTTATGCCAGTACCACACTGTTTTGATTATTGTAGCTTTGTTGTAGGCTTTGAAATCAGAGAGTGTGAGTCCTCCCACTGTGTTCTTTTTCAGGATTGTTTGGCTATTTGGGGTCCCTTGAGATTCCATATGGATCTCAGAAAGGGTTTTTCCATTTCTGCAAAAAATATCATTGGGGTTTTGATAGAGATTGCATTTAATCTGTAGATCACTTTGAGTAATACACTTTAACAATACTAAATCTTCTAATACATGAACATGGAATGTCTTTCCAGTTATGTCTTTAGTTTGTCTTGTTTTTTTTTTTTCAGCTAAGACAGCAGAAGAGATGATTTGTTGTACACATGTTATATTCAGCCACAAGTGGAAACAGAGTTAGTCCTGAAAGTCACAGGTCCAGGGCAAAGGACTAAAAGGGACTGTTTTGGTATGAGCAAGGCTTGTGCTGTGTCATTGCAATCAGATGATGATGGATGTTCTAGAGTCATTGAATCAAGTTCTAGAAAGTAGGCATGCAGTCCAACAATTTGTACCAGCATCCCTGGCCTCTGGCTTTCCTTGTTTCTGCTCCTGCGGCTTCTGTGGGTGCACAAGCTAGTGGTTTACTTGGACCTCTGCCTCATCTTTCTTTCTTTCTTCCTTCCTTCCTTTCTTTCTTTCTTTCTTTCTTTCTTTCTTTCTTTCTTTCTTTCTTAATGTTTATTTTTGAGATAGAGAGCAAGTGGGGGAGGGGCAGAGAGAGGGAGACACAGAATCCCAAGCAGGCTCCATGCTGTCAGTGCAGAGCCTGATGTGGGGCTCTAACCCACAAACCGTGAGGTCATGACCTGAGCTGAAGAAATCAAGAGTCAGATACCCAACTGATGGGGCTACCCAGGTACCCCTGCCTCATCTTTTACACTTAAGCCTGCACATTCGCTTCTTCCTCCACTTGGCTTTCATGATGCAGAGGTTTCCAACAAGATGGTGCTAAGGCTAAGAGAGTATGTCCTTGGCTGTTTTCAGCAATGTATTTTAGTGTCCAGTGTACAAGTGTGTCACATTCTTGGTTATGCTAATTCCTAAGTGTTTTGTTCTTTTGATACTATGTAAATGGTTTTTATTTTTATCTTTTTTATTACTTTTTAAGTTTATTTGAGAGAGAAAGTTTGAGTGGGGGGGGGGGCAGAGAGAGAGGGGGAGAGAGAATCCCAAGCAGGCTCTGCACCGGCAGCATGGAGCCCCACGTGGGGCTCAAACCCACGAACTGCGAGATCATGACCTGATCCAAAGTCGGACACTTAACCGACTGAGCCACTCAGGCACCACTTCTTCTTCTTGATTTTAGAGGAAAAGCTTTAAGTCATTTATAATTGAGTTTGATTTTAGCTGTGGGTTTTTCGTATCTGTATTTTATTACCTAAGGTACTTTCCTTCTATTCTTAGTTTGTTGAGTGGGTTTTTTTTTTCTTATCATGAAAGGATGTTAAATTTTGTCAAGTACTTTTTCTGCATCAGTTAAGAAAATCTCTGTTAATGCGGTCTGTTACAGTGATCCGTTGTGGTATGTCTAACCATTCTTACATTTCAGAAATAAATCCCACTTGGTGGATTTATGAACCAGTTGATGGAGTTACAAAGCAATATTACCATAACACTAGCTGAGTTGGAAAGACACGCTCCTCTGTGGTTTCTCTTTCAGCACACACTCACAGTACTTCTGACATAAGATGTGTGGGTTTTCCACATGTTAAGCAATTCTCTGTGATGCCAGCTGAGTCTCCTCTAGTTCACTTCAATTATGACATCGTCTTCCTGGAGTTACTGTCAGATCCCACGAGTAAGGGCTCACACCCACAAGACTGTCCCCACTTCAGATGCCAATCTCAAGTTCAAGGTGTAACTTAGACTTCTGACCAGCAGGTTATAAATCAGGCTTCTCACAACCCTGAACTTTGGGTTGAATAATTTGCTATAATGGCTCATAGACCTCAGGGAAACACTTATATTTACCATTTTATTATATAAAAGGATATGGCAAGGGAGACTGATGAAGAGCCAAATGAAGGGATATACAGAGTGATGTCAGAAGGGATCGTGAGCATAAGAGCCCCTGCCTCTGTGAAGCCAGACTGTGTCACCTTCCTGGAATATGGATGTTCCCTGGAGCTCTGGGAACCCTGTACTGTAGGGACTTTATCATGTCGTCAAGATCAGTCATTGGCTCACTGTCCAGCCCCTCTCTGCTTCCCAGAGGATTTGTGGGGCAAGGCTGAGCACTCCA